CAACTTTGGATTCTGTTGGGCGGAAGGTGTTCCAACCATGTTTGCGCCGAATCAGCCAGGAATAATGGAATGTTGCGGATAATGAAATCGTAATTATCCGCTCCACTGGCTTAGCAAGCAAGCTGATAATCCTCGAGCCACAGTCCGGGGTTCGTTTCCCTGGAGTATTTCAGGACGTTGGTTAGTGGTCGGTATCATGGCGGGAAGACAACGTTGAGGACGTGTCGGCCAAAGGCCTAAGGTCCTGATAGGCCGGGGCTCGGGCTTCGATCCTCGCCGTTGTCATAGCATCCGCCACGACGAGGGTGGTAGCCACGGCTAGCTCCCTCCCTCGGATCACGATGGACACGCCTACGGGCGTCGAGGATGTCACGCGCGTCACGATTGCGGTCGAGACGCTAATGTACCAGGACCGCGGTGCGTAGCCTACCTCCTCGTGGCACCTAGTGGACTGACATGTCCTTGTCGGGTCACTTCGAGGGCGTGCGCTGGCTGGCATTGAGCTCATGTCACCGAGACAGCGAGCTCTCGGCCTACTGTACTGCCGCACGCTCGAGTAGCATGTGAATCTCACGATGGGCCCGATGGTCTTCGGGCGTTGCAGGCCCCAGAAGCCCTCGAAGCAAGGCCGCCATAGTGGTGATGTTCTGGCTTGCCCAGGTGAAGTGCGGGAGTGCTTCATCGTCATCGATGATCCTCCAGTTCACATCGCGGGCCATGGCGCATGCACGCCCACTGTCTCCATGGCGCTCAATCTCTCGATCGAGCTCCGCGCGTTCCTACTCAAGCTGGAGTCGTGCTTCCTCAAGCTCTTGGTGTCGGACCTTCAGCTGCTCCACCCGCAGGCGAGGCAGGGCCCCTGCATCCCCCCCCCCTGACCTTGTCATTGAGGTCGTTCGTTGGGGTAGCCTCTTCCTCATGGATGCTTTCGACATGTCCCTCAGGGATACCCGCCATGAAACACTCACGAGAGGGGTGATGGCTCCCCCTTGCTAGAGTCAGAGCTGGAGGGCGACTTGGATTCTCCTATGAGGAGGTCATGGAAAGACTCCGTGACATATTTAGCCATCCCCACGAACTCATCGTTTGTGGGGGATGGAGGCGTGCATTGCGTCACAGGGTGGCAACTGTCTCTGCGGCGCTGTGGAGACTGAACGAGAGCGCTATCGTGGCGCTCCTTAGGAGGTATTCTAGAGAGAGGGGCTCTCCCCTGGCAAGATGTGCTATGACGTTGGTGAACGAGAAGGTGAGGTGGCACAGGTCGTCCCGGGACGGTCGGGGTCCCAGGAAGGCACCGAGCTAGCGCTCTAACCTCCCGTAATCGAAGCTGAGGAGCTGGTCGCTCCCGGGGGCATGGGCCTCTGGTGCGTGTAGCTGCAGCTCCTCCAGCGCCTCGGTGATTGCGGCGAGGCCGGTGGAGTGGAGAGGTTGGATGGCGGTGGGAGCCTGCACCAACTCTCCTTCCGTCATGACAATGAAGTCCAGGTCTCCGAAGCGCACGTGCGTGCCCGGGACCCAGCTGACATTGCGACTAACCATCCAAGGCTTGGTGTGGATGTCGAGACACACAAAAGGCCCCTACCTGGCGCACCAACTGTCAGTGTTTTGAGTTGCCACCGGCAAGTAAATTTCTAATATTGCGCATCTAGCTCGGATGGTGTGCTTAGAGGACATGAGGTTTATACTGGTTCGGGCAGAATGTCCCTACATCCAGTTGGTTGCTGCTGCTCGTGTTACTAGCACTGAAAGTTCATAGTAGGGATTACAAACAGGCGAGAGAGGGACAGGTCCCAAGTCTCTGGTGAAAGGAGTGAAGGGGTGTTGAGAGAGCTCGGTTGCTACTCAGCCGTGTGTTCGGGGTTCGATGGGTTCGTGATGGTTCGATCGGATCTAGCCTGAATCGATGTGATGTGTTGCGATGCCCCTTATGGGATGCCCTACTTTTCATTTTATAGGCCAAGGGAAAGCATGGGTTACAGCGGAGGAAAAAGAAGAATGAGAGAGAGAGAGAGTCGAAACCTTCAGGATCGCTGGGTCCTTCTTCTCCTTCATGCGGGTCCCGCCGACCGTGTAGATGTCAATAGAGATGGCTTTGTGTCGCGGTCCTGTCCATCACTGGCGCCATGCGCAGGCGTCATATGCCTGTCATGGTACTCCACTCCGTCCTAGCGAACGTCGTGGTGAACTGACACGCCCATCAGTGTTCGTACGGGGGTTAGGCAGAACAGCACCGATACGCCCGATGTTGTTCTTGATGTGAATCCTCAGGTATGACCCGTGGCCTTGACGGTGAGGCCCACGTCTGTTAGTCGGTGGCAGACTAGTTGTTGCCGACCATTGGAATAACATTGATGTCCGGTGCTTTGTCCGGTGCATCACCAAGTTAGGGTTTAGGTTTTGCTTTATGGTTTAGGTTTTGCTTTAGATCAATCTATGTATCTTCAAACAGTCGCCGTCATCGGTTGTGAAACCCTAATTTCAAGTGCTTTATAATGCATCTGCAAGTGTCACTTCAATTGAGTTGCATTCTTTCGAGTTCTTGCTGGTCTTCTTCATTTTGCAGGTAGGATTTGCCTTCTCGGCGAGGTCAACTGGATTGTGACATGGTTGATAATAAGAGGAGACGTGGTGCTATGGTTGCAAGGTTCGGGTCTTTTGATCTGAAGCCGGATCGATACGATACTACTACCCCCTTTCCATGATCTCACTTCATAAACTATGACATATATGAAGTGACATGATGCATGTTTCAAATTATGGCTTATGATATTGTAGTGTTTAAGAACCCAAAATCCTTATTTCAAAAAGTGCAAAAAGGAGAATTAATGATGAATACAATAAACACAAGACTTGAGGAGATGAAAAAACTATAGTAGTCAATAAAAATAAAATTTGAAAAATCAAAATTTGGATTCGTGACTTCATAATAATATATATGATGCAACAAGAGCTACCATAATTAATGGTAAGGTTTCATACTAATTGTATATTTAAAACATATTGTGCTGCCATGTAAAAGAAAAAATATAAATGTGGATGAAAAGCCACGTAGATCAATTCCTTAAAAATATAATAATTAATAAATCTATGATCAATAAATAGATATAACTATAGAGTTTCTATTATGTCAATTTTGTTAGAAAATAAACGAAGAAGAACCATACAATTCAGTATAAATAGTTCTTTATTATATTATATTAAACAATAACTAATACATATATCGTCTAAAAGTTTAGCTCATAAAAGAGCATGAGTCGTTTGGACGAGTAATAATAAGGGTCTGGTTCTAGGCCCGTGTCTGGACGCAGCTCCCCATGTCCCGTGCCTACTTCGTGCCGCACGTCTTGGTTGCTCGAGTTTCGCGCCACTCGAACAACTCGCCCCACCCATGCAGGCACAAGCCGCCCGAACATCACCAGCATTGAGAAAGAGAAGACACCAAGGCAAGTCAACAGAAAGCGAGAAGGGAGATGCAATACCCGGTCTACTTTTAAAATATCCAAATGAAACATTTGCAACATACGTTCAAAACAGTTGAAACACTTGCAACATACGTCTAAAACACTTGTAAAAACATCTGAAAACGCTTGAAAAAAGCATTGTAAGATATATGCAGCATCTAGATAAAACACATGCAACATCTAGATAAACACACTTGCAAACATATGTCTGAAAAAATAGATGAAACATTTAGAACAGACGCTTGCAACATACGTGTACGATCATTACAACATATGCAACATCTCGATCTAGTTTTGCAACATCCATATGAAACACTTACAACATACCTATAAAACATCTGAAACACTTCAAACATATATTTGCAACATGCGTTTTTCACCCTTCTTCTTCTGGACAACGCAGAGTAGAGCGGTGAACGGCCGGTTCTAGCTAGCCGACGGCCAAGGATGGTGGCACGGCATGGCAGCGGTTAGCTGTGCCGACACCTGGCATGGTCTGGCCACTCCGGATTTCTAATGTCGCGAACTGAGAACGAGCATCGCATCGCAGTGGCACCAACGTCGAAGCGGCCATAACCTTCTAGTGGGGAATGGCGGCGTCGGTAGCACCTCGACGCGGTGGGGGATGGGGTACGATGCTTTGCTGCGAGGCACGGGGCACGACGCATAGGGACGGGGCGGGGCATGGCGCTGCGTGGGCGAGGGCGAGGGCGAGGGCGCAGCGAGGTGGAGCATGCGCGGCGGGGGATGGAGTGTGGCGCGGCAGCAGACGCGACGGGGGATGGGGGCGCTGCGTGGCGCGCGACGGCGAGGCGGAGAGGAGGCATGATGAATCCGCGACGCGACGTGACGCAAAGCGAAGCGAGTGGGGATTGGGGATTTCTTTTTTTTTAAGAGAAGGTGGGTACTTCTTAGGAAGCAAGCCTGTTGTCTGTTGGACCTGTGTTGCGTGGCGCGGGAAGGGAGCGTCCGGACGGACGCAGTATTAGCGTAATAATAATAAGGGAGAATTGCGTTCTTGTCTTTGTCCAATACTTCAATTGTGATTTTGCCCTTCTTTTTTTAACTTTGTTATTTTACCCTCGCTTTTTTTAAACGAAGCTCCCGTCTACCCCTGTTTTGTAACACCGTCTAAAATGCTTGGATTAAAACATAAAAAAAAAAGAAAAAGAAAAAAACACCTATATGAAAAGACAATGATACCCTCAGTCGCTTTCTCCTTTCTCATCCGTTCGCTCGACCCGTTCCGACTAGAAGTCGCGGCCCGCACATGGTTTCGCGGCCTGGCAGAGGTGCAGCTGCCAGCGGCGGCGCAGCTCCTCCTCCCTCCTCCCCCCTCCCCCCGGCGTGGCTCATCCTCCCTCCTTCCCGCACCACCGCCACCTCACGCACACCGCCGCCGGGCGCACGCACGCGCTGCTCCTGTCCCCGCCGCTCGCGCTCGCCGCCATCTCGCGGGCGCCCCACCTCCCGGCGTCGCAGCTCCTGCTCTTCCTCCGCCGCCTGCGATGCCTCCCCGAGGCCCGGATGCGGGACGAGATGCCGCGCCTCGCGCTGCGCCTGCCGCTCCCGCCGGGCGACGACGTGCGCGAGGCGGATGAGGTCTTCGCCGCCGAGGCACACGCGGAGAAGGAGGCCGCGCGGAGGGACGCAGTCTGCCGGGGATTCAGCTGCATTGGTCGGTAAATAGCTACACAACCTCCAAGGTACGTACGGAAATCAAATCCAGGGCCTTTCTTCTACTTCCGTTCCATGATTTGGATCATTCCAGGTGATATGGGTTCTCGATTTGATCCAGGAACACGGATCTCTAGTGTACGGTCTGCATCTGTGAACTAGAATTTATACTGCAATTTCAGACTCCATGCATGTTTGGGTTTATCAGATTTTGGAATCTATATGTTTTTCGTTATGTCAACAAGGTACACGACACCACAAGTTCATTGCTGGGACTGGGTAGCATTGCTAAAAACTTTTCCGTCCATCAAGTGATTTGATTCCAAAATCTTACTCCTATCAATGTGCTCATAAATCATAATGTCATTGCCAATGTGTCCAGATTCCTGCTCCAAAGCGGGGAGAGATTGTTAGGCAAATCGGTGATGCACTGCGAGCAAAGCTCCATCACCTTGGCACGCTTGTGTCACTTGAGATGGGGAAAATTCTTCCTGAAGGGATCGGTGAGGTTCAGGTAGGATCATACTTGCTTGATTGCTTCTAGTGCATTGTCTACAATCTGCACACCATTTATTGTGCTCACGAAAAGTACCATCACTGAGTTCACACTTCACAGCTCATCTTTGCGTTTCTGTTTTAGGATGTTAATTTATATATACTACATTATCATCTATGAGGTTTCGTTACTGTTTCCATATCTGTTAGAACTGCAACTTTGCCTAAAACATGTCATTCTCATATGTGCAGCACTATTGAATAGGTCAGTTGGTACTGCATTGATTTGTCCTCTTTTTTGTAGGAAATCATCGACATGTGTGATTATGCTGTGGGGCTAAGTCGCCAACTAAATGGATCCATTATACCATCTGAACGTAAGACCTTTCTTCCTTTAGTTATATCTTTTTTCAGGCCATTGAAAACGACATCATTATTATCAAAAAAAAGGAAGCTACATCATCTGCAGTGGAACTGCAGATTTGAATATTTGATCATTCTGGTTGCAGCTTGCAACTGATTCAGATTTTCTATGACTGTTTAGGAGCCAGAAAGGGCCTTGTAAATGCTGGAAAATATATTTGAATAAAATTCTGATGGTCTAGCTTTGTAGGTTTGTGTATTGTATCGGACACGCTGAAATTGAGATCAGCCAAGATTTTGCACTTTTCTTTTGCTATTAGAGTTGCTAATCTGCAACACAATCATTCATGTTAAATTATTTCCTTATCACTACTTTAGTTCTGTACAATAACACATCATTCCAGATTTCCAGTTTTCTGTTTTGTACGAACTTCAGTTTTCCCAATTCCCTGAAATGTTGCGTTATTACTTACTGAAATTACAATTATCACAGTAAAGGAGCATAATAAGTAACAGATCCCTTAGAAAACAAGGTTTTAGAGTGTTAGCTTTCTGATCGGTTGCAGAAGGTAGAGTCCCAGTTGTCAGAGCCTTTTGCATTGGTCTTGGGTGGCTTCATATCATCTTTTCTTCCTAACTCCTGGTCCTAGATATAAAGCATATGTGCTGCTTGATGATGATATCAGCTCTCTCTTTACTTTGAATTTTAGGACTCCTCGTTTAGGGAATGTTTAGCCAAAAAAAAGTTTTAACAACTCTTGGTGCAGGAAGTTTTTAGATGAAAAGTTTAGCAGTTGACAGTTAATGGTGTAACCTGGTATTTAGCTGCACCCATAGGATGCCTTTTAATCTACCTTTCATGAGTTCTTACTCCTTGCTCATTTCTAGTGCTATGAAATTGCTGTCAACATTTACCATATAATCCTGTAATCTTAATAGCCATGAATACCTCAATAATCTCTCATGTCATGTAGGTTGGAATGCTTGCATTGCTTTGGTCTGTGGAAATAGCATTGTCTGGTAAGAATGGTTTACTTTTCTGATAAAATTGTAGTGCTGATATATATGTGTATAGAAAATGTAGCCATTAAATTCCGAAATATTGAGTTTGGCTCCCTGATTATTCATCTATTAGTTTGTCCCTGCTCATGGAAATTTACTGGTCCTGCCCTTCCAACAGAGTAAATTTAACTTTCTATGACTGTAACTGTCATATGACATGTTACCTTCTATGAACTGTTGTGGGTTGTGATGTGACTTGTCCTATTCATCTCATCATTTGTAGTTCAAGCAATTTGCACTCAGGAAGAACTTAGACAATGTGTGCTGCAACTTGTATCATCCTTGTAGGCTGTACAAATTATTGTGCGTAAGTGCATTTTGGTTTCCAGTTCTGACTCAGCTTTGAATTGCACTTGCAGCAAAAAAGGGAGTGGCAACACCTTTACCGTGTCCATGAAAGAAGGAGCTGTTCAAGTTGGTGGTTTACAGTTTCCCTTGGATCCCCGGCCACCCACGGAGCTCCGTCCCCGCCCGCTGTGCAGTTCCCGCCGGCGCCGCTGTTTGATTGGAGTAGCCAGCAGAGCAGCCAGCTAATGAGTTCAGCAGAGCCTTGTGTTTGATTGGAGTAGCTCTGTTCTTTGCCAAATTTCTCTGAATTTTGCATGTAAAAATTTTAGTCGACCCTAATCAAATTTGTTCTTGGTATATAACTCTACTAGTTTGGTTCAAGGGCAGAGATCGAGGAGCCACCACAGGGCCGACCTGCCGGCTCGTGCACACGGCTCGTTACATCTGTCATCATTATGAATGTTTTGGTCCCAAAATTTTGAATACTTATCAATATTAAATCTGAGTTCAAATAATTGCAAGTTGTGCCAAATATGTTTGACCAAATTTAATCAATTGTCAGCATATAATAAAAAAGTCTAATTCTAAATCAGGGTAAAATCACAATTAGGCATAACAAACAGGGACAAAATCGCATGGGCATTCATGTTCTTTTGTACAAAGTTTAACACCGTTAGGGGTGGATGACGGAGCAGGGGCAAACTGGTGCTTCGTGAACAACACAGTAGGGATAAATTCACAAAGTCAAAAAAAATAGAGGCAAAATTACAATTTCGATACAAAACAAGGATACAGACACAAGAGCCCCTGGTAATAACGCGGGAGCCATGAAGCATATGGCACTACTTGACTTGACTTTGACTCGCACCCCACAGACACACATGCTGCATCGATCTATCATCACTACTTGCCCCTCACTGTACAACCGCGTAGCGTCCAGAAAACACCGTCCTTATCTGGGAATCGACTTCATCCAAGGATCGGATCCGATGGGTTTGCAGTTGCAGTAGGTTGGGATCGTCCGGAGACCGATCGCCGGTGGCATCACCTTCAGCAGCGGGCGCGGGGCGTCCTCAAGGTAATTATCAGTTAATTAATCACACTAGACGAAATTCTGCGTGCGTGTGAGTTGATTGATCGAGTTACGTTCGGCGCTAGCTACTGCAACTCTTGTTAAGTTTTTGCAAGGTTAATTAGATCGGTTCAACGTACTGCTGCGCTTAATCATATCGTGCGTGCCTCATCTGGCTGGATGCGTCTCACTTACAAAGTCCAATAAAATATTGCACATGTCCCACAGCTACCCCTCCGATCCCCTCTTCGTCATCTTTACCTGCCGCTGCCGGCTCGGCTTGCGACAATTGGAGGCGGCGACGCCCCCACAGGCCACAGGCCACAGGCCATCCCACAGCTACCGATCGTCCTCGCTGGCGCACAACACACCTCCTTTAATGGATGCAAGCGGGCCGCTCTGCAGAGTGCCTGCGGGCCGCCGCATCATCCGCCCTAGATTTTTAACTATATACCTGCAGAGCCTGCTAATGCTTTCCTGCAAACGTCCTGCTAGACTTTGTGGCAAAACAAGCAGCAGGTTGCAGACATCTGCAGACGCCTGCATGCTAGTACAACTTATTGTTCCTTTTGGCTAATTCATTAGTTATTCCAACCATTTAGACTTCTCCATACAACTCAAACATGAGCATACGTCAATAGTCAGTCACATGATCATTTCAGATATTCAAAGAGGATATAAGGTTGCTCGTCTAATGGAAACATCGCAAAATTCATATGCCAATATAGGGAAACGGAGAGCTAAACATTGCTATAGCCCACAAGTACCAATTAATTTCTGCGTCTACAGCTTCAAGTGAGGAAGAGCTGTTGAACAGTGCCTGAAGGATGAATATGGCATACACCAAAATTAGAGCTTCAGAAACATTACCGATCCATAGACACATCAGTATTCAGTAACCACTACTGCTAAATTACGAGAAACATGAAGCAACCCCACGCCGAAGCCACTCTCTAGTGACCATACTTCTGGAACTCCCACTCACTGTTTTCTGCAATGTCAAATTACAAATTAGAAGGTGAGACGGTGTGGACGGGCATGAGTAACAGATAACAATCACATTGATTAAGAGGTAGAACCGCCAGGGCTACTGACCAAGAGGCCACACTTGACGGGTCTTTAGCCAACGACTGATACAGTGGAAATGGAATGCATGGTTGCAAACTCCTGAAAAATACAAACAGATTATCAGTTCTTTCCAAGTCAAGTCGACTCTGCTAAGAGTTCCAACACTTTGCAAAACGCACGCTTGGTAAAGCCACAAACCAGTCTAGGAATGCAATTAACAAACAAGGGGTAAGCTAACCACTTAGGCTAGAAATATTAAAGTACACACATGATCACAGAAGTCTACTTATTGCCCTTAACTAGAAAACCATTTGAATAACACCCTCATCTTTCAATAATTTTGCAGCGGTTGAGAAAGGTACACAGAGAATGTTTGGCTACAGAGTGACCTTGTTTTTTTGAGGAAAACTAAGATTACTATGCATTCATACTGCAACATGCGTAAATACCTAAACAAGGAAGAATTTGCCAGATATAAGATTAGCCAAAGTGCACATTCCTAACCAAAATAATAGGTGTCAAAGATAGATAAAGCATTAACAATAGATTTGATGGATAGCTATATGAGCATACATGCAATTTTTTGGAGCATTGGCAGCTACTAAACTAAATATCAGGACTGCAGGGTAGTAAACTACCATAAGAACTGCAGGGTACAAATGTACAAGACTGCATTCTACTACTAGTAGCTTCACTGCAACCCATCGTTCCGAGGCTTGCATTCTACTACTACTAAAAGCCGTCAGGGACTGAAATCTGGTACTACTGCTGAATGCTGATCATTTGGAGAAGGAGAGATTGGCAAATCGCCGCGAAGGCGTAACTGCCCAAGCCCAACCAGAGCGCTAGAGAGACTGTGAGTAAAGCAGTGTACAATGTGTATGTAGACTGTATGTAGACTGTGTACAACTGTATGCGCTAGAGAGACTGAGTAAGGCGTACTCCTACACGGACAGACCAAAACCCTCCATGCCTTTCTTGTTCAGTAAAAACTCGGATCCTACAGATCATAGTTTTTAAGGCGGTAAGGTGAGGTGCGGCGCTCCACCCCCTTCCAGACGCCTAGGCGAGTTAGGCGCACGGCGAGGCGACGCCATACACATACTCCAACCTTCCATAAGACAGCACAAACATACACTTATACATGCCTTTCTGCTGCCAATTCTGGAGCCCATGTAGTAGTGATCCTGAAGGGCGGGCCTGGTGCAAGCGGTAGAGTCTTACCGCCTGTGACCGGAAGGTCCCGGGTTCGAGTCGTGGTCTCCTCGCATTGCACAGGCGAGGGTAAGGCTTGTCACTAACACCCTTCCCCAGACCCCGCACAGAGCGGGAGCTCTCTGCGCTGGGTACACCCTTTTAACTCTGCCTATGTTGTCTCAACATAGCAGGTCCCAAGCCCTGGTAAAGGAGAAGGGTTGTGATAGGCGTGGCGAGCCAACGTTAAATCTAGCCATTCTAATGGAGATGAAACCAAAAAAAAACCGTTGGGGCGTAACCCTCTTAGCGATGCGTCATATCGGAACCCGGGTATGATGTTAAATGAGCAAGGGCTGGGTCGTCACCCCCGTGACGCACCGTGTCGCGATCTGGGCACGGTGTCAAGTGAGCAAGGATCGGGTCGTCGCATCCTTAGTGGCGCGCTACATCGGCGCCCGGGTGTAGTGAAAAATGAGCAAGGGTCTTCACATCTGAGTCGACGGGTGCGAAGGGTAAGGAAGCTAGTCGAACCAACTAGGATCCGTTTAGGTAGTTGGAATGTAGGGTCACTTACAGGTAAGTTAAGAGAATTAGTTGATACCGCGACTAGAAGGCGTGTAAATATATTATGCGTTCAAGAGACTAAATAAAAGGGTCAGAAGACGAAGGAGGTGGACAATACATGTTTCAAGCTTTGGTACACAGGGACAATCGCGAATAGAAATGGAGTAGGAGTTTTGATTGATAAGAGCCTCAAGAATAGTGTGGTGGGAGTGAGAAGGCAAGGAGATAGGATTATCTTAGTCAAGTTTGTCATTGGTGATATGGTCTTGAACGTAATTAGTGCGTATGCCCCCAAGTAGGCCTCGACGAAAGTGCTAAGAGACAGTTCTAGGAAGACTTAGATGGCCTGATTAGAGCTGTACCTAGTAGTGAGAAGCTTTTTATAGGAGGAGATCTTAATGGGCATGTAGGTACTACAAGCGCAGATTTCGAGGCAGTTCATGGAGGTTTTGGGTATGGTAGTAGGACTCAGGAGGGGGAGGAAGTTCTGGACTTCGCGGTAGCTTTTGACCTGATGATAGCCAACACTTTCTTTAGAAAGAGAGAATCTCATCTAGTGACCTTCAGTAGCGGACAACACTCTAGCCAGATTGACTTTGTCCTCGCAAGAAGAAAGGACAAACGAGCATGCTTGGGTTGCAAGGTGATACCAGGGGAGTGTGTTGTTTCTCAACATAAGCTTTTGGTGGTAGACTTTCGTTTTCAGAAGCGTGCCCATAGGGATAAATAAGCTAAGATTGAAAGAACAAAGTGGTGGAAACTGAAAGAAGAGACGTCAGAGGTATTTAGGGAAAGGGTTATCAAAGAGGGCTCTTGGAAGGAAGAAGATGACATAAACAACATGTGGGAGAAGATGGCAACCAACATTCGAAAGGTGGCCTCAGAGGTGTGTGGAGTAACCAAAGGAAGTGGAGGCGAGTCTAAAGATACTTGGTGGTGGAACGAGGAAGTCCAAAGGGCTATTAAGGAGAAGAAAGAATGTTATAGACGCTTGTACCATGACAGGAGTGTGGACAACAAAGAGAAGTACAAGGTGGCAAAGAAGACTGCAAAGCGAGCTGTAAGTGTGACAAAGGGTAGAGCGTACGAGGATCTTTACCAACATTTGAGTACGAAGGAAGGAGAGAAGGACATTTATAGGATGTTTAGGGTTCGTGAGAGTAAGACAAGGGGTTTCAACCAAGTTAAATGCATTAAGGATGAAAGGGAGCATCTCTTGGTGAAGGAGGATAAGATCCAACATCGATGGCAAGAGTATTTTGACAAATTATTCAATGGTGAGAATATGGACACAACCTTTCAGTTGGATGACTCTTTTGATGACACCAATAGGCGCTTTGTGCGGAGAATCCAAGAATCTGATGTCAGAGAGGCGTTGAAAAGGATGAAAGGAGGTAAGGCGATGGGACCGGATGGTATCCCAATCGAGGTGTGGAGATGCCTTGGGGACATAGCTATAGTATGGCTAACCAAGCTGTTTAACCATATTTTTCGAACGAACAAGATACCTGACGAGTAGAGGAGAAGTATATTGGTACCGATCTACAAGAATAAAGGGGATATTCAAAGTTGTACTAATTACCAGGGAATTAAATTGATGAGCCATACTATGAAGCTATGGGAGAGAGTTATCGAGCATCGTTTGAGAGCAATAACGCGGGTCTCTATGAACCAATTTGGTTTCATGCCCGGAAGGTCAACCATGGAAGCCATTTTCTTAATAAGACAAGTTATGGAGCGGTATAGGGAGAAGAAGAAGGACCTACACATGGTTTTTATTGAATTGGAGAAGGCTTATGATAAAATACCAAGGAATGTTATGTGGTGGGCTTTGGACAAACATAAAGTCCCAACGAAGTACGTCGGGCTCATTAAGGACATGTACAACAATGTTGTGACTAGTGTTCGAACAAGCGATGGAGACACGGATGACTTCCCGATTAGGATAGGACTACATCAAGGGTCAGCTTTGAGCCCTTATCTGTTCGCCTTAGTGATGGATGAGGTCACAAGGGACATACAAGGGGACATCCCTTGGTGTATGCTTTTCGCGGACGATGTAGTGCTAGTTGATGAAAGTCGGACATGAGTGAATCAGAAAATGGAGTTATGGCGAGAGACTTTGGAGTCCAAAGGTTTTACACTCAGTAGAACTAAAACTGAGTATATGATATGTGACTTCGGCACTACTACTCGGGAGGAGGAATATATTAGTTTGGAAGGTCAAGTAGTGCCTAGGAAGGATACCTTTCGATATTTAGGATCAATGCTACAGAGAGACGGGGATATTGATGAAGATGTTAGCCATAGAATCAAAGCAGGGTGGATGAAGTGGCGCCAAGCATCTGGTGTCCTATGTGACAAAAGGGTACCACAGAAGCTAAAAGGCAAGTTTTATAGGACGACGATTAGACCTGCTATGTTGTATGGTGTAGAATGTTGGCCTACGAAAAGACGACATGTTCAACAGATAAGTGTCGCGGAAATGCGTATGTTGCGTTGGATTTGTGGTCATACAAGAAGGGATCGAGTTCGGAATGATGATATACGTGATAGATTAGGGGTAGCACCAATTGAAGAAAAGCTTGTCCAACATCGGTTGAGATGATTTGGACATGTCCAACGGATACCTCTAGAGGCACCGGTGCGTAGTGGAATCCTAAGCCAGGAGAGTAACGTGAAGAGAGACAGAGGAAGACCGAAGTTGACTTGGGTAGAGGTAATAAAAGGAGACTTGAAAGGATGGAATATACCCAAAGACTTAGCCTTAGATAGGAGTGCTTGGAAAACAGCTATTCACGTACCTGAACCTTGATTGCTTCTACTGGGTTTCAACTCTAGCCTACTCCAACTTATTTGGGACTTAAAGGCTTTGTTGTTGTTGTTGTTGTTGTTGTTGTTGTTGTTGTTGTTGTTGTTGTTGTTGTTGTTGTTGTTGTTGTATGTAGTAGTGATCCTCACAATCAGAGAGGCACATATCACACTGACAGATAAATAAATTAACCATCTGTCCATCTCTTATGCAGCAAAGTTCAGACAGACAAGCACATATTCACACCAATTAACCAATTAGGCAACGACAGGGGCATATACTAGCAGAAAGGAGCACAGCTATGAGCTATTTGTTCCTACATAGCACAACAAATAACAGAAAGGAGTAGAGCAGAGCACGAGTACAAGAAGCAGAGCAAAGAAAGAATGGGGAGGAAAAGCAGAGCCGCAGTGGAAAGAGGGATGGAGGATTGGAGGAAGAACAGAGGAAGGAGAGGCCAAGAGGGGAGGGCATACCCGCAGAGTGGAGCCGGTGATGGAGGAGGCGGCGGAGAAGTCCCGAAGACGGTCGCAGATGGGGCGGGAGTCGCAGCAGGATTCACGGCCATGGATGGGGCGGGAGTCTCGGTCGTGGACGGGGCGGAAGTCGCGGACGCGGACGGGACGTGGGTCGCGGACTCAGGGTCACAGGCGCCGCCGGCCCGCCGACCGATTTCAGGTGAGCCGCCGCGCTCTTCTCTCTCCCTCTCGCCTCCCTTTCCCTCCCTCGACTGGTGCGAGTCAGATGGATGCGTCTTTGGCGGAAGGTATGCGCGCGCTGCTCCGTCTTTCCCGTGCACTCGCGCCTCTGTTTCCTGCACGCACGCAACGCTCTACTCTTTCCCCCGCGCGCGCAACACGCTGCGTTTTCCCCGCCTTTCCTGTGCACAATCCCAGGCTTCCCGCCCTACGTGCGCGATTTTCCCTCCCCCGCGCGTGGTTTTCCTCGTGCGCTCGCGCGCACGGCGTCCGCCTAGAGCAAGTCGACGCCATATGGTGACGACTTGGGGTGCAAGGCGACGCCATACGCTAGGATGTCGTGGCAAGCCCGACGCCATGGTTCAAAAAAACGCCCGGACGACAAGGCGACGCCTTAAAAACTATGCTACAGATGATCCTTGTGCTCTCAAGATATATAAGTACATTCTTAACTGTTCCAGAAATTGTTTGTGGACAGTGGCAACGACATTGTAGAACGATAACAGGCTACTGAAGAACAACTAAACTATTTCACTTGTTTGCTACACTGACACACAATATTTTTTCCAGAAAACATGACAAAACATGGACAGTAAGGAGAGAGAGAGGCAGCATACCCATGTAGTTGATTCTTATGAAAAATCTTCAATATTGCTATCTTGAGTGGTAATTGATATCATATCAAAGTAAGAAGAGCCTACAAAATTAAAAAAAAAATGAACATATTTGAACAAATCTAAATGTCTGAAACACATAAAAGGACTAAAGGCTTTAGTCCTTTCCCTTCTTCCCAGCAGTTCCTTCCTTACTTATCCGATCCGCTGGCGTCGGTCGGCCCGTACATAACTAACAGAGCCCAAACTGCGTCATCAATGTAAAAGATTCAGACTCAGGAGGATCAAGTATAATCTTGCAGGTTCCGTCTGCCAGTAATTCTCATGCTCCCAAGTGAACCCTAGCAGCGGCTACAATGGATGGTAAATCCAGTGCCACAAAAGATTACCTGGAGCACATGCTACTCGATCAAAGTGCAAAGCCAACGAAGCTGCTGTTAGCACTACTGGAAGCCATCACAAATAATTTCTCTGATGATCAGGTGATAGGCAGAGGTGGGTTTGCAGTGGTTTACAAGGTACGGTATGGGTAACCCTTAACTAGTAGTCTCCCAATTCAGTTACGCTTTTGATTAACTGCAGCTGTCTTGCAAATAAACTCATCTTTCATGCCTGTCACAAATGCAGGGAATGCTACGAAATGGTCCGATCGCTGTGAAGAAGTTGTCTAAAACGCTTGATATGCAGGAGAAGACATTCATCCAAGAGGTTCAATGTCTCATGAAGTTGCAGCACAAGAACATAGTGCGATTTCTGGGATACTGTGCTGACACACAAGGAGAAATGACAGAATATGAGGGGAAGTCTGTCTTGACAGAAATACGAAACAGGGTGCTCTGCTTTGAATTTGTACCTAATGGAAGTCTCCATGAGCAAATCACTGGTAGGGTCATGTGGTATGTAGAGCATAGTCACAACATTATTTGTTTTTGTGGAATTATTATATATAATCATATATATATATATATATATATATATATATATATATATATATATATATATATATATATATATATATATATATATATATATATATATATATATGGCATCAGAGGACGTATATTATTTGAAACATGAAATCCTTCCTACCCGCCCTTTCACAGATGCATCCTGTGGACTTGAATGGAGAGTGCGCTATCAGTTGATCAAGGGAATTTGTGAAGGTTTACACTATCTTCATCAGAATCATATTGTTCACTTAGATCTCAAGCCTAGTAAAATATTGCTAGATAATAACATGGTGCCAAAAATTGCGGATTTTGGTCTCTCAAGGTGCTTTGATGAAAACCAAAGCAAGGCTATTACTTCAAAACTGATTGGATCAATGTAAGATTTTGAAACCCTCTTGAAGGCTAAGCTTTTAGGTATGAAATATATTGTATTCTCTTTGGCCATTCATCCAGCACATTAATTATATAAATTTTCTTGCAGGGGCTATATGGCACCAGAATTCTACAATCGGCAGATCACATTCAAGCTAGATATGTATAGTCTTGGTGTTATAGTTATGGAGCTGTTGACAGGGCAGAAGGGATATTCCACGGTCGATAAAGTAAGAGAAATTTACGAATTGGCTTTACAATAAGAGGTAGATTTTCAAAAAGCTTGTCACACTTGTACTGTGCACAATGTACATAATTTCTTGGGCATTGCATAATATCATTCTCAGGATACCTACACTTTGTCTGCCTATTTTTTGAAGGCACACTTTGTCTGCCTATTGGCAAAAATTCGACTTTTTTCTCGCACATGCAGGAGCTGTGTATCAATATATTAAGAAGAAAAGGGTATAAGAAACCCAAGGTACAACCATGTTTTTAAGGAAGAACCTAGAAGGAAAAAAACCAACACAAAAAAAAACAGAAAGATAAAACACCTTATACCAAGAGGGGTAGGAGGACAACTCTTCTTCTTAATACAATGATACGCAAATCTTTTGCGTATTCGAGAAAAAAAGAGAGGTACGAGGACCCGGAGAAAAAAATCAACTTTATATGTTGCAAAATATTTTATGCAACATGATGTAACCTTTCTATTTGCAACAGATAGTTGGGCTTTTGCTGATAGACCCAAATAATGACGAGTGGTGTCATAAGCACGTCTAGGAGCGAAATCACATTTTTTATTTCAAATGGAAATCATGAAAACATTTCTTATTGAGTATATCAAGGCAATGACACTGTGTCTGTGTGGTCGAGGTCGATGTCTGCCTAAAAAAAGGTGTTTTTTAAGGTTTTTCTTGCGTGGGTGTGCTATGTAAGGGCTCTTACCTCTTTTCTTCTTCTTAATACAATGATATGCAGCTCTTTAGCATGTTTGAGAAAAAAATACAACGACACTGTCATGAAATGAGTAGTCTTTAAAGAGAATACTGCCATAAAAGCTATAGGAGAGGACTATAAATTAAAAAGGCACATAAGTAAATAAAATGTAATGAGTTATTATTCGCAGGGATAAAATACATTTTATTTCATCTTGCTCGGGACACATGGAACACAATTTTGACACATATAGAACCTTTCACTGTTAGAACTGAAATTGTGTGGCACATTGAGTATGACATTTTGGGTATACTAAGCACTCCACTTTCCCATTTCTATATCCATCACTCTAACCTACGGTTGCAACTTTTTAGGTACTTGAGAGTTGGAGGAATAGGTTGGAGATACCACAGCAGGACACATCTTTACATCAAGTACGAAAATGCGTTCAGATAGGAATAATGTGCGTAGGCCCTAACCCAGAGAATAGACCTATCACACAGTATATAATGAAGAAGCTTAATAAGGAGCTGGAACGCAGCGATGAAAAAGGTGAGTTGGCCCGGGTGTGGGGACCATGGGTGTTACATTGCGTGCTCGTGGGGATTAAATCAAATTGCTGTATCTGGAGATCATGTGCATCACCTTCCAGAAACAGCTACCAACTTGTTTTTTTTTTGAAAAAAAAATCTTAGCATGCGGAAGCTTGTTCCTATACCTTGTTCTGTAGATTAATAAGGCTGCAGGTTAGTATCTGGGGTATGGCATCACATTCAATTTGTACTTGCTATGTCAATTTGACCTGATGGCATGATTTCTGGGGATTCTCGTGCAAATTGGTACGAGGATGTCATACCCTCAGCTTCATTTTAGTGGTCCGTTGAACATGATGACCGAGCTTCATTTCATTTATAAATTAATGCTTTTCCATTGAACTGATTCACCTTCTTTTGATCTTACAGATTCTTTTTCAGTGAATGGCTTCGAGAAAGGCTCCCATTGGAAGCACACGGTAGCAAACAAAGAGCATACAGCGGTGAGTTTAAATTTGTCCCAATCTATTTATATACTAGTCTTAAAGTTCACAAAAATTGATAGAAATGTTGATTTATTATATCCGGTTTTGGCATATGATAAGAGAAATACACATCAAACTACAAATCATTGCTGTCCTCTGAGCTCCGATGTGTATGGTATGTTGAATGTATTGATACTTGAGTTATGTCTTTTGTTTTATTTGCATTTTTCTCTCGGCATCCAATGACAAAACAGGATTTGAGTAGTCCAACCACTAACTACAAAAACTAAAGCTCGACGGTCGTTTACTTGAAGTTCACACTGATTTTAATTTGTTGACATGGCATATATGCCCTTGCGATTGGTTTAGTTGGTGCAGAAAGGGAAGTTGCCGCAACTGCTGGAAATTGGAAGTGAACGGAGCAGGAGCCAAGGAAAGGTGGTGTTAGGAGTTAGGACCGAGGGGGAAGCCAGGCCATGGATCAGGGATGTGCCCAATGGAATCCAGGGGGAGCATGTCGCGGCAGGGTGGCCGAGATGGCTCATGGAGGTGGCAGTAGATGCGGTTCGTGGGTGGCAGCCTCGGAGGGCAGACTCTTTCCAGAAGTTGGACAAGGTTTGTTATTATGATGGCCATTACTTTTGCAACAAATTTGTCACCATCCTTGCTACCTTTTTCATTAGCTATCTTCATGAGTTATTGCCTATGGGCATTGTTATACTGTTTTTAGGTGGTTGATTATTTAATGGCAATAGGATATTCTGATAGGTGTTGAACTCAACATGTTACTGGGGCTCACAGAATTTTCGTAATGTCATTCTTGAGGGTTTGGAGCAGTTAAAAAGGAAAACGGATTGCAACACTAGAAACACATTGCGCTCACACCCGATTCTCCATTTGGATGTCAAAATGAAATTTATTTTGTATCACCGGGTCGCGCCATTCCATTTTTGGCATAAAATGCATAACAAAATACACAAAGTAGGCAAACAAGACACACACCGCCCTGATCAATGCTGCTCCTGCTAGACAACTTCTTTAGCACATTTAATAAAACCACTTTCTACTTTTTTATAATAGAATAGAACACAACATTTTTTCCTCGAACATGCAGTAGAGCTGTGTATCATCATTTTATTAAGAAGAAAGATAAAATGTACAAGGGTGGGGGCAGAGACATGTTCAGTTCAACACTATTGTGTGTAACAACCACAGAAACATTTGGCCTTGCACCATTATTGAATACGCAACCATTCCTGAATACAACTGGAGCTATAGTATCGAACCACCTTTCAAAAAAAAACATCATATGTGATCTCACTTTTCTCATTTCATATTTAAATATTTTAGATCCGACAAGGTACGCATAGTAGCACTTACAAAGCCCGTGATCTTGAGAATGGAAAATTTGTGGCTCTGAATAAAGTACGGTTTGACAATATGGACCCTGAGAGTGTCCAATTTATGTCAAATGAAATTCACATCTTAAGAAAGCTTGATCATCCAAATGTCGTGAAGCTCGAAGGTCTGGTGCCAACATGGAGCGGCTTGTATCTTGTATTTGAATACATGGAGCATGATCTTGCTGGACTCTTGGCTACACCTGGCTTCAAATTGACAGAGCCTCAGGTTTACCCTCTAGATTTGTTCTTTAGCTTTCCATTTTCGAAAGATTTCCATTGTAATGAGGTTTTAAGTTCTAATAACTTCGAATAATGGATGGTCATTTCAGGTGAAGTGTTTCATGCAACAACTACTTTCTGGACTTGACCATTGTCATAACCGTAATGTGTTGCACCGGAATATAAAGTGTGCAAGTCTCCTACTTGTCAATAATGGCATTCTGAAAATAGCAGATTTTGGTCTAGCTACATTCTTTAATCCCAACCAAAATCAACGTTTGACAAGTCGTGTGGTAACATTGTGGTACCGGCCTCCTGAGCTTTTGTTGGGTGCTACTAACTACGGCACTGCTGTTGATCTATGGAGTGCCGGTTGCATTCTTGCTGAGTTGTTGGATGGGAAGCCTATCATGTCAGGACGAACTGAGGTACTGTTTGGCCATTCTTGTTGCGATCAAACTTGCAGATGTTTGCATATAAGAATAATGCTATATTTTCTACCTACCGTAATTCTAAGAATGCTATAATATTTATGTGAATCTTTTCTTTTATTACACTATTTGTTAGAACAAATTTGGTGCAAAAGGTTTAGAAGATGAATGCGGGTAAGTTCCTTTGATTACTTGGACAGTGAAGGGCATTTTCAGTTGAGAATCTAAACACATCAAGGAAAATGATATAATGTTTGGCTCAAGATGCCCATAGTTTATGCATTAAGACATTGTTAATGTTTTAATATATATATCTGCCAATTATTATTAACATTCATAAAGGTTTTGTGATAATAGGCCTAATTTTACTTTGGCATGACCAATTCATACCAATTTAAAGTAATATTATTTATAACTTTTTATCTTCAAGATAAATGATCAATTTATTTGCCATACATCTTGGTAGTTTTAAATTTTTTTATCAATATGATTTGCAATGATCGATTCTTTTGTGTTAACTCATTCAGGTAGAACAGCTGCACAAGATTTTTAAGCTTTGTGGTTCACCATCAGAGGAGTTTTGGGCTAATTTGAAGTTATCCCGAGTTACCATATTCAAGCCTCAGCATCCGTACCGCCGATGTGTGAATGATGTATATAAGGACTTCCCTACTACTGCTTTAACACTTCTGGACCATCTACTTGCTGTAGAACCTGGGAATAGGGGTACCGCTGCATCTGCCCTTGACAGTGAAGTAAGTATTGACCCTTACATTTCTTGATGTGCATCAACCTGTTATCGCTTTAAATCTATAAAGCAGGGGAAACCTTTTATTCAAAAAAAAATCTTCTCTTTGTTTTCTCAGCACATATTCCACCAGAAGTATGTCATGATCCCATCAAATTTTCTTCTTTGTGTTTTCTCATCTTCATCCTGCATTTGCGCCAGAATTTGTATAAAGATCCGAAGACGACTATGTTGTCCAGAATGGACAATCCAAGAAACTGTTTTAAGAGTATTGCCAGCACTAATTTATCAAACTATGATGTATAGTGTGTACTATGTGGTGTTTGCCATGTTAGTCTAACTTCCCCCTGTTTTTATAGCTAAGCATGGACTTTGACATTATCAAAGTTTCTTTCACTTTTTTTGTGAATTTTATTTCTTGTTTTTCATTCTCTAAGTTGCAGCCTTGGGCCCTAGAGATTCCCTAGAGATTCTTCCACTTGTTTCCCTTGCCAGAAATGGCTTTTACAATTAAAAATGTGAACATGCATATGAGATGCTAAAATTGCTACTAGGTTTATATGTGTTAACATCCAAATATTGGTATGGATCTGGATGTTCTATGTAGAAATACTTCTCCATTCCAAATTATAACACATTATGGCTTTTCTCTAGATATTGTTTTTACTTTATATCAGTACATAACAAGCCAAAACGTCTTATAATTTGGAATGAAAGGAGTACAAGTTTAGTGAAATTGATGTTATTATGTTGTTTCTTTTTATAGTTTTTCACAACAATGCCTTGTGCCTGCGATCCATCAAGTCTACCCAAATGGCCTCCAAGAAAGGTGAAGAAGCTACGAGGTGATTCCCTCTCAGAAACCATGGCATATTAAGAATCAGCATTGCCAATCTTCTGTTTGGGCATTTCTTATTAAATCCAAGTTCATGGTTTTGTTTGCAGGCAAAGACCACCTGGTAGGGGACCTGATGGCAGGGGTGGAGTTGTTCGAATTTTAAGCATTATTCATGTAGAGAATTAGAAAAACATCTCCCACCCTTATGGTTGGGTGATGTTTCATATATGTATAGGTATGTATATATGTATATATTTACAAGATGAGTACAATACAAGTCATTGTGTTTTATGACTTTTTTGTGGGAGTACAACTTTACGACGAAAATTGTGTGTCTATCACTAAGACCAAGTAGAAATTGTAATTAGTTGTGTAGGATTTCCATATATCGCTACAAACTGTAATTTATCATGATATGCTAACTGGAATTGTCACAAATCTGTTACTATCAGTTCTTCATATCTTTTTATTTAAATTTTAACATGCTAACCGCAACTCCACAAGTTATAATTTTTTTTTCATTTTCCATTTAACAGGGCACAACCCATATACGCCATTCCAGTCTTTTTTTTTTTGAAATATAAACAGTTATTTTTTATAAAAAAACATAGCAAACAAACAATTATTTTTCCAAATTAAAACAACACTAGATCCCACGGACTATGCCTATTACAAGATTATAAAAGATCTGCTCCCTCTCCCTGTTTATAAATTCGATTTCAGCGACTAGTTGCAGGGCCAGAAGGTTTCTGAAATAATACTGGCACCAGCTAGCATAGTGCCAACAATAACTTTAACTTGTGCAGTTAGGCCAGTAATAAGATGATACATATTGATATTGTGCTCGGAATATAAGCCTTCCATCATTGGTATTTTATAAGGCACCGTACCGTACCTCTGGAAATTGAGGGATTGAATGTCTCGTTACTTGCAGCCTGAGAATCGCCGCCATCTTCTTGACATGGTGAGCCCTTTCTTTTAGGCACTGAAGAATCCATCTGCAGTTCGACAAAGCACAGTGACGAGTTGTTATCATTAGAAGGAAAAAAAAACGAGCTCAAGGAGAAAATCATGCAACAGTCGATTGAAATCTGCACCCAAAATTTTTAATCTGCTCTTCCATTTTCCAAGAGCCATGCAAATAGTGGAGATAGGGCAACAGCAAACCTCGTTCTCTACCAAATTGAAGCGACAATTCTGTAGAAACCAACTCGAATGGATCAATGAGCGGCGCTAACAAGATACCACTGCACTAGTTGTTCTTTAAGAATGAATCGAAGAGAACAAGGATGCGGCGGAAGTGTAGATGAGACGACGAGACACCGGGGTGCGGCGGCGGAGGTGGTGGCGCGCACTTACGTGCTCTAAGGCGGCTGCGTTTCCTTTCTTTGCTTTCCTTACCTTTACACTTATAGGCCATGGGCCTTGGGCTCGGATCCGCTTTCCTTTACCCTTGGGGGGTTGGGCCTTGGGCTCGGATCCACAATCGCTCCTCCATTTCTAGTTTTTGGTTTGGATGATTTTAATAATTTAAGTTTAAATAAATCTGACATCAAAATTGATCTATCTGCAACACAACAAGGCAATAACTATCAAAATAAAATATTTTTTTTTACAAATTATGTGTGGTCACAACAGCTTACATCTACAATTTTGTATGGAAATTTCGTATGCCATTGAAACACATGTCATGTAGGTTGTAATTTTGTACATACACATTGTGCTCGTTTATACAGTGGGTATAGCTCTGAAAAAGAACAAATGGACTCGAAGCTCAGTGCTCACACCGTGCCTTATTGCTGAGAAGCTTTGCTCAGCCATATTCCGTCTCTGTTGGGTTTCGATTTGAACTTTGTAACAATCTTTCAGATAATAAACAGCTTTAAATTAGAATTTGTCAACTATAAAGTTGCAACTTGCAAGTCTCAACTCTCATCAAGTAAATCTCATATAAAGATTGTTTCATTCGACGTAATATGAGAAAGGTATAATTTCCTTAAAAGTCACCCGTCGATGGGCTAATTATCACTAGAAGGAAATGTACGGTTACACTATATATATTTTTTTAATTTAAATTTTGCGCCATATGATTTGCCAAAAACAAATTTTCACCATTTCAACCAGTATCGTATTGTTGCCCTTTGTGTTCGATGAACGGTAATGCTGGAACGAGACTTGTCCGTGGACTCGACGCCCAGAAGCCTATCCGATCATGTCCGCACGCCCTCTAGTCGCTACCGATTAAAAAAAAGATTCACGCATCACTATGACTCCGCTCCGCGACCGGCTCCACCGCGGCTCCCGCACGTCTCCCGCACGTCTCCCTCTTTACTGCACCTCCCGCTAGCCTTCCTCTCCACCGCCGCCGCACCCGCACCGCCGTGAAAATGCTCGCCGCGCGAGGCCGCACCACCCGACTGCGGTTGTCGCCTCCAACGTGGGCACCGTGTGCGCCCTATCACCGGGGTAGCGCAACTGCTCGCCGGGGGCTGCATAGCCGCCAGCTCGCTGCCATCCTCCTTCTCCACCGCGACCGGATCCCGTTGTGCCGTGCTCCACCCGCCTGGCCGCCATGTTTTGCTGAAAGCCTATGTTGCAAGTGTATGTTTCGAGTTTTTATGTTTCAGAGGTATGTTGCAAGTATTTCAGATGAATGTTGCAAAATTAAATCAGGATGTTGCATATGTTGCAATGGTTGTACACATATGTTGCAAATGTCTATTAGCAATGTTTCATATGTGTTTTTCCAGACGTATGTTGCAAGTGTGTTTATCTGGATGTTGCATATGCTTCACAAATACATTGCAATGGTTTACAAGTGTTTTTAGGAGTTTTTTTCAAATGTTTCAGAAGCATGTTTCGAGTGTTTCATCTGCCTTCAGACGTATGTTGCAACTATTGCATTTGGATATTTCAAAAGCATATCGGGTGTTGCATGTCTCCTCCTCACCTTCTGTTGCATTGTCTCGGTGTGTCCTCCTCTTGGCGCCGGCAAGGCATCCATATGATAACGTGGCCGGGTCCTTCCGAATCGGAGGCGACGTCCCCTTCCCCTCTTGTCGCTCGAGCAACACAGGCCCCTTGTGGAGCACACGAAACAAAATGTAGTGCGTGGGCGTCCGTTTAGACGTTTGGACGCTAGCACTGTTGTTCGACGAAATATGGTTTTGTGTTGGATACTATTTTTTGAATTGGCAAAAAAAACTATTTGTGCATTTAGTCAATCCTACGATTATTTTTGTATACAAACAAATAAAAATCGAGATTTCTGAAACAGAGCAGAAAAGAGAAAACAAGTCCGTAATGGGCCAGCCCAAGAGCTTGTGCTCCGCTCACACGGCCCGCCTCATTGGCTGGCATGAGCCAAGTCCCATTACTAGCCCTGGAGTGCCACTGACTTGGTGGGCCCACCAAGGCGTCTTGGCGCGCTGAGAGCGCCCCCAGACGCCAGAGCCCACAGCCTTCCTTCCCCCTCAAGGCCTCTCCCAATTCTCCCGCCGCCCGCCTCCCTCTCTGCCGGCGGCGAGGTGTGATGCCACGAAGGCGGCGGAGGCGCCGCCCATTTGATGCGCCCACGGCCGCCTCCTCGCGGCGCGCTCTCCAAGCATCACCTCCTCCGCATCCGCCGGTGCCTGCCACCCGTTTGGCTTAATGCCGCCCCCGACCAGGACCCGACCCGCTACCTGCCGCCGCCTCCTCCTCCCCCGCGTCGCTCTCATCCCTCATACGCTCCTGCACGTCCCAGTGCGCCCGTCGCCCCGGCGAGCAGGCGCACGCGCGCGCCGTCGAGCTCGGCCTCGGCGCGCACCCCTCGGTGCTCCCCAGGCTCGCTGTCTTCTACATCGCGCTCGACGACCTCCCCGCCGCGCGTGCCGCGGTCGAGCGTGCGGCGGGAAAGGCGCGGGCGTTCCCGTGGAACCTGCTCATTTGTGGGTATGCCGACCGTGGGCTGTGGGGCGACGTGGTCCTCGCTTGCCGCAGGATGCTGGCGCTGGGCGTGGCCGCCGACAGGTTCACGTACCCGTCGGTTCTGTGCGCTTGCGGCGAGCTACGGGATGCCTCGGTTGTCCCGGAGATTGAGCAGCGCGTTCGGTCGTGGGGATATGGTCTGGACATGTACGTCTGGAACGCTCTGGTGGGGGTGTGCGCCAAGTGCGGGGAGATGGAGGACGCGCGCAGGGTGTTTGATGGAATGCCTGCGCGGGATGTTGTCAGCTGGAATGCCATTGTGTCTGGGTACGCGTCGGCTGGTATGTGGGGCGAGGCGTTTGACCTGCTGCAGTGGGTTCCTAATGCGGTTGGAGCAGGAAATTTGAAGGTGGGGAACGATGGCGAGGTGATGAGGTTTGTGTCGCAGATGAAGAGTTGCCATGGTCCGGGGCTGGATTCTGTGACTGTTGTGATTGGACTCAGGGCATGTGCTAGGAGTGGGTATCTGAAGATTGGCAAGGAGTTGCTTGCTGTGTCTGTTCGTCTAGGCTTTGATAGGCTTGAGCACGTGGAGAGTTCATTGATCACAATGTACTCCAGATGCCAAATGATGAGCTCTGCATACCGCCTGTTCAGAACATGCTCAACTCAAAGCGTAGTAATATGGAATTCATTGCTAGCAGGATTTGGATTCATGGACCAGGTTGAGGAAGCTATTTTGCTTTTCAGAGAGATGATTTATTCCTCTGTCTTTCCAAATGATGTTACTCTGTTAACTATGCTTTCACTTAGTGCACGTTTTGGACACCTCTGTCACGGAAGGGAGATGCACTGCTACATTTTCAAGCATGGACTCGGTGCCTCTAACATACTGCAGAACTCACTTGTCGATATGTACTCAAAGTCTAGACAGATGGCAGCTGCTCAGAGAGTGTTTGATCAGATGCAATGTCAAGACAGGCACGCCTATACTTCATTGATTTTGGGCTATGGAATGCAAAGAGAAGGGCATCTATCACTGAAGCTCTTTGATGAAATGATCGCCAACAATATCAAGGTGGACCATGTAACTATGGTTGCTGTTCTTTCAGCCTGCAGCCACTCTGGGCTGGTAACTCAAGGGCAGCTACGATTTGCTGAGATGTTTGATGTGTTTTGCATTGCACCAAGGGTGGAGCATTTTTCTTGCATGGTTGATTTGTACTGCCGTGAGGGTTTGCTGAGTATGGCTGAGGAGATAATTAACAAGATGCCATTCCAGCCAACTGCCGCGATGTTGGCAACTTTAATTAAGGCTTGCAGGATCCATGGAAAAACAGAAGTTGGGGATCGAGCTGCAAAGAGGATGCTGGCCATGAGGACAAACAACCCCGGTCACTACAAATTGACTGCAAACATGTATATATCAGCAAAACGCTGGCCAGAACTAGCCAAGGTTAGATCATTAATGAGCGTCATGGAGCTAAATATGATTCCAACTCATTCCCTACTAGAGTCAGAATATGACATATGTCCAGTCGAACAAGATTGTTGCTTAAACGGCAGTATGCATGGAGGCTTGTCTGATGACATGACAGATACTGATTTCTCTAGTAGTGAGGAAGTGAAATGCAATGAAGCTTTTGGTGGGTAACAGTAAAGCTGGAATCCAATAGGCTATTTTGGGATCATGGTTTCATTTTAGGCAAATATCTTAACAGCTTGTGTTCTTCGCATCACGGTAGAGGTAATATGTTTTTTTTTTTTTTTTTTGCTGTCATGCTACTTGCTTGAAGGGTGGGTCTGCCGCCTGTGACCGGAAGGTCCCGGGTTCGAGTCGCGGTCTCCTCGCATTGCACAGGCGAGGGTAAGGCTTGCCACTAACACCCTTCCCCAGACCCCGCACAGAGCGGGAGCTCTCTGCAGTGCCGCACTGGGTATGCCCTTTATGCTACTTGCTGGTACTTTGTCTACATGCTTAGAAATTAGAGATAATTGTTTACACGTGCTTGCTTTTGAGGTTTGAACTACCTATAACTGGGATGTACTTCTATACAGCAAGTTTGATACGCTGTATAATTTCCTAGATAGAATTTGTTTGAGGCTTTGAGCTACAATTTTCTGAATTGGCAGTTTGGATTTTTTCCCAGGTTCTTTTACATCTGTTCTTGATTTGATTCTGTGGTATTTTGTCTCACTTAGCAAGATGTTAAAGAAGATAGTAGAGGCCATTTTACCTCTTGTAGTCTCGTGCTAAGTAGTAGAAGCATTGGACTGAACCATTGTGCCTTTTCTTTTCTCGAAAGGGACTCAACCTTAGCAATCTTGGCGTCTGATGCACTGATTTCTCTTTGTTTGATTGTTCTTTTACAGAGGACCTTGCATTGCTACATACAAATTAAAGATGTCATTTCCAGTACTACCTTCAAACACGATCACAAACAATTTGGCACGGTAATACAAAAATTTGCAATACTATTATCATTTGACACTGTTCTTTTACTGTTTCTGCACTCATGTGATTCATCATGGTCATTGCAATTTTAGAACCAGTCTACCACCTCTGTTGCCTCAGGAGCAGCTGGCCAACCTCTGAATTGCCCGAGTGAAGGACAGCTCTGGTAAAAATTTTCAATAATTTATGGAAGTTGATAATCTTTTTACTGGAGCATATCAGCATAAGCAAACTTCAAACTTTTGTTTTTCATTTGATTTGAGGTTGTTTGAGTAGGCTGTTGTAAGATAATCTGCTGCTGGGCTCTTGTATTTTGCTGCAGGAAGTTGGCAATATGTCAATTCCTTGCTATCCTTTTCTTCTCCCCTCTCTACTGCAGCTGGTATGCCAATAGGCCACTAAGTCAAGGCTGATGTAAGCCATGTAGAGTAGTTGAGGCTGATCTCAGCCGGTACTAGTTTACCTTTTAGTTGTTCAGCTACTACTCCTAGATGTGTATACTCTATGGAATGGAACAGAGAGAAGACAATTCAGTTGCTGCACTTGGCCGTGTGTGCTCTGTTCTCACCCCTCTTCTTCCTCCTCTAGCCTATAACCAGTGTGTGTGTGTGGTTGAAGCTGCTGCTCACCTGTGCAGGGAGGTCGGCTGCCAACAGCTGTCAAGTGTAATATGTGTTTGCTATCTCAGTATTTTTTTTGACACGGGGGCTATTGTTAGCTGCTCTTTTTTCTGGCCTCTATGCTTTAGCCTATCCCACAATCACTGTGTTTATTTTTCTTTGTCCTTTTCATGTGTCTGTTGATTACTGTGTATGTATAGTTTCTTGGTATTGAATCTTTATTTCCGTTATATTATACAAAACTACAGTAGCTCATAACCTATATTAATAAAATAGTGATACTGCTCCGTTAGACCTTCATGGAAACGGATGGGGATGGGGATGGGGATGGACCGACTTAGAAAGACCCACATGTTTTTTCATGGGAAATCTGGGGCATCAAATATGTTGGGATTTATCTGTCGATGTGTAGTAGAAAAAAATAATGCATTATGTCTCTGGAATCTTCTCCTTGGGAGAGAACCAAACTAACAATGGTGATTGCTTCCATTTTCAGAAAAGTAAGTAGCTGGCCATGCTTTGCGTACCACTAGCAGAGTATCGGATACGGCGAAAAGGCAGCGTTCTGTTGGGCACACTTAAGTGGGCGTCTCAGATTATAAGCTGTCTACGCAGCAGCCTGGAGCAGCAACTGGCAACCATAATGACAAAAATGGAAGGCTCCACCGGCAGTGTCCAAATTGTGTCTAGGCGTTTGGTCCAGCCAGAGTCCGGAAGCTCACCGAACATGGTGCCGTCAGAGCCAGAGATCATTCACTTGACTCCATGGGATCTCACGCTGATCACGGTGGACCACATCCAGAAGGGTATCCTCCTGCTCAAGCCCGGAATAGGATGTGCATAACTCATCCAGAAGAGTTCATTCATGCCGTGGCTCCTGAGGTCACCGTGAGCCACATAACCACCCCACTGTACATCCCATCAGTCGTGTGGTCCTTCTTCCCGCTGAACAGGCTGCTGAATGTGGAAGCTGTCGTGAGTTCGCTTCCTGTGCTGGCCGCGCAGGTCACCGAGCTCGCAGATGGCATCTTTATTGCGATGTCGCTCAACCATGGCGTCGCCGATGGGGCTACATTCTAGCTCTTCTTCAATACCTGGTCGGAGATAAACCGGCGCAGCAGCGGTGGAGGTGAGGGGTACAAGCTGTCCACACCGCCGCCTGTGCTGGACAGATGGATCCTCGACACCTGCCCGGTGCCAGTCCCTCTACCCTTCGGCAAGCTGGAGGACATTGTCCGGCGACGCGAGTACACGCCGGTGCAGGAATGTTTCTTACACTTCTCTGCGGAGAGCATAAAAAGGCTCAAGACGAAGGCAAATGCCGAGATGGCCGGAACTGCGACGGCCACCATCTCCTCGTTGCAGTCCCTGCTCGCTCACCTTTGGCGAGCTGTGTGCCGAGACTGGGGGCTCGCACCACACCTGGAGACCACGTACAAGCTTGCCATCGGATGCCGCGCTCGGGTGAAGAGTATACCACAAGAGTACGTGGGCAACGCTGTGGTACTTGATGTCGCAAAATCCACCGTCAGCGACGTCCTGGACAAAGGGCTTGGCTGGGCGGCGTGGCTCCTAAATCGTGCTGTGCTGTGGCGTCGTTTGACGAGGCGAAGGTGAGGAACAATCTTGCATGTTGGGCCCAGAATCCCAACCTGCTGTATGCGAAACCCTCCAGGAACCACGGTTTCGACGTGTATGGCAATGGCTTTGGATGGGGTCGGCCGTTGGCTGTCCGGAGCGGCGCTGGGAACAAGGTGGATGGGAAGGTGACCGTGTATGAGGGACGCGCCGGTGGAGGCAGTATTAGTGGCGGGGCCACAGGGTATGCCGACTTCCCTGCGAGACCGGCCTACATATACGTAATATATACAGTACATCTGTATTTGTAAAAAGAAAAGAATAACTCACCTAGATGCCCACGTGATGCGGCCCACACGGCAAGTCCAGATGCCTACGTACACCACGACGTTCCCAGTTTTTTCTAATCTATATAATATAATCATTCGCTCGTACCTGCACCAACTAGTCCCGCACAGGAAAAAGAATAAGTGCCCCGGTAATAGGGTTTGGGGAAAGTCTGAAGCCCCCTTAGCCCTTGCCCCTTGGGTTATATTTATAAGGGCGATGGGAGGAGGCAATGTTCCTTCCGACCCCCCCTTTGGTTCACAAATTTACATACAGGTCATCAGACTAATTAGGCGCTAGGCCTTTTTACATGGAAGGGGATAGGCACAGCCGTCCCTACCCCTAACAATTGTCTAGTCACTTTCACCAAGCGGGGTATTTTTATTGAAGTTAATAAAGATAATATAATCAAGACATTCATGTTCATTCGATCGAAAAGCGTTGAATAAAATAGTCGGAAAAATAGCGTTATAAGTCTATGGTAGTATGCCTTTTGAATTATTTATATTATATTCCGTGGATGGTTTCAACTTAATCCTTGAATTTAAACCTTATCATGTTATTTTTACACGTATACTGAATCACGTTGTCAAATTTTACAATTTTTATCGAAGTGCAAAAATAAATTTACCGAATTGTATATGATTTTTTTAGTGGCATACCTTGAGGTAAAATCCAAGATCCGCCACTGGACAGCATGGCCTTGGAGGTGTGCCTGTCTCCTGACGCGCTCGGCAAGCTAATCGCCGACGAGGAGTTCATAGAGGCCGTGAGCGCCGTGTGAAGGCGTGGTGCCTCGTCGCCGGACGATGCCTGCTGGTGGTAGTTCGCGCCATGTGCACTCTTCTACTGCTTTTGCTTAGTGCTTCTTAAATAATGTTGTGTTCATTGATTCGATAGCTAATTTATCTTTTTTTGCATACTTTTTTTGAAACATCTGTTTTCTGCATACTTTGTTGAAAGAACTCTATGCTTCTTTTGTGCTGTTATATACGAAGTCAGATGCTGCTGTTCTAACTATTTTCTTTAGAAAAATGTTGTTATAACTATAAACTCATGTTTAATACTACCTATCCATGTGCTCTCCTTTATGCTCATTTTCCATGTGTGAATGCTTGATTGGCGACAAGTTTTATCCATCTATCTATAGACTGCCTTCGCCATCATAGGAATACTTGAACCATGGCCGTGATGGTTCAGTTCAGTACAGTACATAGTGGTTCATATAGCGAATAAAGTCGGTAGTATGCCACAATATTCCAAACGAATTTGTAGGTGAAATTGGGAAATAATTTTTTTTGGGGGGGATCACAAAAAATGAATTCCAATTCCAAACAGAATTGTAAACGGAACTCATTCTGTGATCCAAGCCAATTTTTAAAATATATCGAAATGGAATGCTAGAAGCCAAAACCCTGGATCGCATTCGCTGACCACGGACGCTCTTTTTTTTTATAGCAGAATCTGGAAATCACACTATGAACACAATGTAAACATTCAGAATTATTAATACATTGGTCTTGTAGTATGCCACAATATTCCAAACGAATTTGTAGGTGAAATTGGGAAATAATTTTTTGGGGGGAAAATCACAAAAAATTGAATTCCAATTCCAAACAAAATCTTAAACGGAACTCATTCTGTGATCCAAGCCAATTTTAAAAATATATCGAAATGGAATGCTAGAAGCCAAAACCCTGGATCGCATTCGCTGACCACGGACGCTCTTTTTTTTTATAGCAGAATCTGGAAATCACACTATGAACACAATGTAAACATTCATAATTATTAATACATTGGTCTTGTAGCTCATGTATGTAAGCTTGGTTTGCTGATCTATAGCATATAGGCTTTATGGTCCAGGAATCGTTACTGTAGTCATAGTTATTTTACCACAGAAATAAATACAAAATGTTACATTGCATTTTTTTTTACCACAGGAAGAGGATAGATATGAAATCAAGGAAGAGAAAGAGAAATAAAAATAAATTTTCAAAGAAATGTGTGACAAAAGGACGGCCCAGAAGAAAGCCCGTGTGGGTACTCTCTCGCTGCGCCCAACAACCCCGACTGGGCCGCCCGTCGCTGCATTTCCCCTTCCGTCCGCTTCATCCCTCCTCGTGGTTACTCCCAGCCCCACCGCCGCCGCCGCCAGGTGCTGAGGCTTTCGTTGGTCTCTTCTTCGCCGGCGACGAGCACCCACTCGGTACTCCCACCCCTTCTCTCCCCTTCCCTTCATGCTGTGCGAAGCTGAACACCGAAACCCTAACCTAAAGCTATCTACTGGATCCGCCCCTGCCCAACGACATGCATATAACTCCGATTTCTTGACAAAAATTCGATTCGCCCGTGGTTTACTGAGCAAATTCTTCGCAGGGCACGGGCCTCAGGATGCAATCTTTGGTCCGGAATGTCTGCCGAGCCGGAAGCCGTGGAGCTGCAGCGTGGCTCCTGGAGCTTGCCGCTGCTCCCGTAGCCGCGGTTCAGCCGGGGGTGGCGCAGCCATCCTCGGCCGTCAAACACCTCAGGCAGCGGTACGGGTTCGCTCGTCCGACCGGGGTAGATCAATCCGTGCGTGTGCAGAGCCGGGCCCTTCCTGCCGCCGCCGCCTCCGGTTTCGGTCTCTGCGCAAAAGTTCTCGGTGCGACGAGGGGTTTGTCGACTGTGGGGAATGCGGCTGAGGTTGCTTCTGATTCTGACGATTCCACCTCTCCTGCGGCTGAGCACCCTCCGCGCATCAAGTTCAAGAGGCCTGATAAGACCGCCAGGCACATTATGAATGTATGTATGCTGAGTGAGTGTTACATACTTGCAGGAACTATATTGTCACATTATATCCAGTGACAGTGACAAAATCACCACATAAAGATAAATCTTCTTGTTTGACTATGCAGATCCTGAACAAAGAGGCAGTTGAAAAGGTCCGCTCGGAGAGGGAGATTCCTGATGTACAGCCTGGATGTATGATTCAGATGAGATTGGTATATCATTTCCTTGTGTTCCTGCTTTAGTGCTGTTCGGATATGTTTCTGGCACTGATCCTTCCTGTGAATCAATGAACAGCAAGTTCCTGAGAACAAACGGCGCGAATTGACATTGAGAGGGATTGTACTGGGAAGGCGCAATGCTGGGATCAATACAACCTTCAGATTGCGTAGATTAGTGGCTGGCGTTGGAGTCGAGTCTGTCTTTCCACTGTAATTCAATCCGAACATGCTCTTCTCTACTCTAACTTATACTTTTAATATACTCTGCTTTGTTTTGGAATATATCATTCTGAGGTTGAAGTACTTGTTTTATAGGTTCTTTAATATCCTTGTGCTGCCAGAATTAACTTTTTGTTCATTGATATCTGATAATTATTCAATGACTGCTAAAATTCATGTTTCTACTATCTAGTGGGATATTTCTCCCTGCTATGGTAGACATGAAGTTCTTGTCCTCTGTTTGTGCATAACCTTACAATATACTCTGATAAGTTATGGCCAGCTAAACTATAGATAGATGTGTGGTTTCTGCATGAGAAATTGGATGTTTGCAAAACTGGGAAAACTATTCTCAGGAAATCAGGTTTTGTCCTTCTGTTTGATGTAAATCCATGAATACTATATTAACCATGCTATGACACATAGCTAATGACCGGAAGCAAGTTAATGATGATGTACCGAACAGTTTAGGCGGATTGGCCGTTTTGCAGAATGATGGACATAACTGCTTGTGCCCTGTTAGCAAGCATCCTAGTACGAGTGGAGATTATAGTTTCATAAACACATTATCCAGTTATGCTCATACCTCAGTTGTTCAGAATTTGTAGCAGATTCTTTCTTTGCTCTGCATTTGCCATGGAAACAAATACATTGAAAGAATACTATTAGTAGTAGTTTATATGTTCTTTTTTCTTTTTTTTTTTAATTATTATCAGGATCTTTGTGCTTCGTTCAGCACTTAACTTTTAATGTTTGGAGCTAGCATAACCATGGAAAGATATCATCACATATGACAATGCATATACGATACTAGATTGACTTGAGATTTTCACCAAATTATGTTTTATGGTTTGAATGGAAACCTGCCGGTGTTATCTTTCATTGTTCGAACGGCCACATGTCTTTCTTTTAATTAGCTATCAACTATTTGCTTGCACTATTTTCTTGATGTGACTTTCTCTTTTATGTTCAGCTACTCGCCAAACATCAAAGAAATCAAGATCTTGGACAGGAAGAAAGTCAGGAGAGCCAAGCTGTATTACCTGAGGGACAGGGTGAACGCACTTAGAAAATGAGGCTTTCAACTTGTTTGTAGGATTTTTGCCCATGTGGATAAGCATGGTTTCTGAAGATGAAACAGTTGGAGTCTGAGAATCACATTGTTTGGTTCCATGTTTGAAAAGCCATAGCTTGTAGTTGTCAATTGTCATGCTTGGTTTCAAGCGGCAAGTGCTAGCACAATATGTTTTCTGACACAAAATTAACAATGCGGATCTTCGTTCTTTGATTTGCAGCACTGTAACATCAGTGCAAAAAATAACGTGCTCAGGTCTATTATATTACTTCCCCACCCTTATTTAGTATTTTTGTTTGACATAAACAAGCTGGAATACTTCACTGATAAAATTGAAACTATTATGCGATGCTTGCTGCTGTTGAGATTACCGGTTTCATATATCAAATCGTTTATTGTTGTTCACAGAAATATGTTGTTCGTCTCTGTTTCTGTCCACCTTGACCTGCTGTGAACAAGTGGTATAAGCTCTATGGACACCCATGGAACTGAAATTTGTTGGAGTTTCTATATGGCTCATTATGTGTGGTGCGATCAAATGCAAGTGATTGTCAGTGCGTGGTATTAGTTTTAGAAACTGACACCTGATATTTGTCCAAATTTCATGGCCCTTGTTTTTACATAAGAAAGCATATGTACCTCGGGCCTTATCGCCCTTGTTGATTTTGGGCTATGGAGTTGAAAGAGATGGGTATATCTATATATCAGTCAAGCACGTTGTTGATGAAGTGATATATCAAGGTGGACCATGCAAATATGGTTGCTGTTCTTTTAGCATGCAGCCATATATATATAGGCAGCTGGCAATGAGGAGTAACAGCTACAAGTTTCTTTTGAGGGAAACAGGAGGGGTTGCCCCCTACTGAACTTTATTAAACTCTAAAGAACAGAGTTTGCCTAATACAACTCAAGAAACAAAGAAGGAAACAAAGAAAATAAGCAAAATTACACAAAGTTGTCTACCAATAACTGCAGCTGAAAGCTTAGATCTCTTTTAGCTCTAAGCTTAACTCGAGCTAATTCTTGTTTGAAACAGCTACAAGTTGGATGTAATGAGAGGCAACCAGATTAATCACCACCTGTGCTGATGCTCAATGCTTCACTTAACCAGAGTAGAGCATATAAATCAATCTCACACCACAAACTCGATCATAGATTATTGTAGCTTGATTAATGGTTCACCAATACAATACAATACAGCCGGCATATGCATATGCTTAAGCACAGCCATCAAATTGCACACGACCAGCATGCAGCCACTTGGTTTTATCATAAGATACAATACATACGTAGATGGATACATGTATAGCAAGCAAAGCAATCCCATGAGCGCAGCCATCAAATCGCACAAGACAAGACAGGTGCGGTCGACGACGCGCCTCTTATTACAAGCATCTGGTCTGATCCCTCACAAACGGGCTGGGCTGAGGTAGCAGACAGACACAAACACACACTCATTAATCGTTCGGCAAGCTGAAACACAGTCTATCACCCGCAGACATGCAGGCAGGTGGCTGCGGCCTCACACGGCCAGGCCTGCACGCGACACCGCCGTGCAGGCATCAGGCACCAACAAGCAGGCGTTTGGCCGTCTTTCTTTTTATTTCAAAACCAATGCAAACACACAGAAGAGGCCAATTCGGCTGTCCGGCCGTCATGGCAGGCAGGAGCAAACCTGAAGCCCCATACCTCCCTGGCCTTTCACACAACAAACAAACTGATCAACAGGCAGGCAGGATCATCCATCACACGAACAGTAATCCACAGAGACGACCGACGGTAGCAGCAGCAGCAGATGCATGCTTTCTTGAGAATGAGCTAGCTTCCATCACCTGTCGGCAGCAGAGTGAGTGATTGAGAAGCAAATTAAATCAATTCATAAGAGCAAGTAAGCTGTCTTATTATTATTAATTAACTGGGCTAGCTAGCTACAACAAGCCAACGACGACAGATAAATGCACTCAACACGTACGTACGCATAGGAACGTATGTAAAAAATATACTGATTATTACCTGAGCACGGTGCTCCTGAGCAGGTGCCTCTTGTAGGAGCGCGAGTGCACCGGCGCCTCGTACAGGGAAGGGTGGTGCCTGGCGTCCACCCCGTCCCACTCCAGCGCGTCCCACGCGTCCTTCTCGACCTCCACGGCCGGCCTCCTCTTTCCTGGCTCGTTGAAGGCCGGCAGCCGGCGCAGGTTCCAGCATTCCCTGATCCTGATGGTCTCCAGCGCGGGCGCCAGCATCTCGGCGGCCTCGCATATCTGCTGCAGCGCTGGTAGGTCGTGCAGGTGGATGGTGGTCAGCTTCGGGAACTCGACGCTTGTATGCTGGTACTTCTCGTCAGCATCACCCGGTACGAAGACGTGTCTGAGTTCGCCGCAGTGGACGATGTGGAGGGTCTCCAGGCTGGGGAAGGAGGGGCGCTCACCCATCGCAAGCCCGAACAGGAGGCTTGGACAGCAGCGCAGGTGCAAGTGCCGCAGGCTTCTGAAGCGATCAACAGAATAGTAGATGACACCTTTGCTCCATACACAACGAGCCATCCGGAGATCCGATACCCAGATGGTCTCCAGCGTACCAAAAGGATCCTCTGAGCCCGGAGGAAAGACGGCGTGCAAGCTGGGGCACCTCTCGACACGGCACCACCTGAGGGAATACCAATCACCTCTAGGCATAGTATTGCTGCAGGTCGAGACATCATGCACATGCAGGGATTCGGTATACCGTCTCATTAATGAAGCCAAATTAGAATCATCTGCCTCCACCTCACTCTGCACGCTACGACTTCCGTCACCAATCTCGATATGGCGATCCAATTGTCCCGCTGGGCCTTGCGGGAAGGCCTGCATCGGGGTTGGGCTATTACCAACCTTGGTAAAGATGTCACAATACATGTCTCTAGCAGCTATGTCATAGTGTCGTTGGTCATCAATGGATCCAGTCACCTTCTCCTTGTCTGTTGTTGCTTCAGGTTGAATAGTCTCCATGCATGTAGCTGAAGAGGTGATGCTGATGTTGAAATAACAGGCATTGTAAGCTGCAGAAAATATGGGAGCCCAAAGGGACCGAGCAAGCCTAGCATCCGCAATGATTGCGTGCACCTGCAGCCAGAAGGATTTCTGTTGAGCGCAAAGGGACAATGGCTGAGCACATCCAACTCTAGACCGTGTGTCTATGCAGATCAACTCCAGCTGTGATTGTTCCACATCTGAGCCCCATTTTATTGCACGAAGGTTCTCACAGCCTACTAGGAAGAGTCTCTTGAGCCTCGGGACATCCACCACCATAGCTCCAAAGTCAAGTACCTTGATCGCACATCCTGAAAGGTCCAGCTCCTCCAGGTTGGGAAGCCCACGCAAGAACAAATCCTCCAACAATGTGCAACCTTCTAGAGATATCTTGCAGGCTCTGACATCCTTCTTATTATCTACAGCAGATGGACCATTTGGACGAGAACTCATTGGAGGTAGCTTGCCGGTTGATGTCCAATGGGATGCTGGTCCATAGCCATCAAAACTGAATGACCTTAGCAAGGAGTTGTGCAGCACAACATTCTCAAGCCCATCACAACCATCTAGAACAAGTACTTGAAGTTTGCTTGCCTCTGATAGGCTTGTCGGTAGGCTTTTCATGTCACTGTTACCAGACAAATCAAGTATTTCTAGCTGTTTGTTACCCACAAATGAGTTGTTGATGTCCAAGGATGTCGACTCTTCCTGATGTGTAGGTTTGATTATCCGAAGTCTTTGAAGGTAAGGTAACCTTTTCTCTAATAATTGACCCGTATACTGCCAGCACCTAGCTCCTTCTATATTTAGTTCTGTGATATTAGCCATAAGACCTATCTTTTCCTCAGATAAGATCTCACCCCAGTCTGTGTAACGCAGGTCAAGCACCCACAGGCTTTGCAGAAATGCCCACTTGGTGATACAGTCCCGTCCTTCAGGTTCACTACTTGTATTATTATTCTGATGTGTGCAGTTGTCCAGCCCAAGAAATCTTAATTTATTGCAGTGGAGGAAAGGAGGGGATACAAAACTGAAGGCACAACATGAGAGAACCAGCACACCAAGTTTGCTGCACTGTTTAAACAAGGTATTTGGCAATCTGTATGGTCTATCCTCTGTTTCAAGTGCTAGGAAGATTGACGATGCCCTTTCAAGTATATTTTGCATACCCTCATGTACTTTCTTATTCTTCAAGGAGATAGAAATCCAACGATAATAATTAGGCCTCTCCTCATAGATATCATCGTCACCATCCTTAACTACGAGAAAAGGAGTCTTCGGGTCATCGTTGAACTCTTCAAACACAGCATCAAGCACAGAGGCATCACACTCGAAGATTATTTCTGGATGCAATGCATTGCTGATCTCCCGTTCTCTTTCCCCTTGTTGCATGATCCCATCACATATCCAGTAGTTGGAAGAATGAGCTGACCAAACAAATCCAGTGGTGCCATGAAAACTGTGGTGTAGATGCAGCCCATAGAGACAACAATGTACCACCGTTGTCAAGTCCACACCCTGCATACATGGGTGACGAGCAACTATGTTAGCAGCCTCTTCACTAAACAGTGCCATAAACTGTGAGCTTGATAAACCTCCAGCAGAACTGTCGCAGTAAACCAGAACATCCGTATATCTTAGCTTCTCTGCTATCTTATTGGTATAGTAGGAGCCCATTGTCACGCACCTTGTACTGAAAGTCCATAGTATCATGCAATCACTATTTTCTGGAATACCAAGTCTACCTAGAAGCACCTCATCACCACTCCCATTGATAAAAACCATCATGAATCTACCCTCCCTCAAGGTTCGGTCAATCATCGATGCAACACTTCGAACCCGGTCCCTAGAGCCGTGGTCCACCCCATTGAAGTCATCCTCTTCGTCGAGCTCGTCAAACATGGACATGGTCTTATGGTCAAGTCTTAGCTCCTCTGCAATTCTTTTCTGCATCGCTCTCTTGCTTGTCCACCTGGAGCAATCAATATAAATGATTCTGCCAAAGCATAATTCTGGAGGAGGATCTTCCATTGACGGGAGTGCTTCTTGTGCTATGGACCTAAGAACCGCGGCTGCCCCAAAGCCAGCCCAACCATCGAAGTAGATGGTGCTGCTGGTGTCGTTGCTGAGGTTCCTCTGAATAAGATTGAATATTTCCTCTATGGCGCCAGCCACATCTGTTGCGCTGATATCCTGAAACGCGGGAAGGACGGTCGTTGGATTGCTATATATGATCATTTAATTAAATTTCGAAGTATATTATATGAAGAATTGGCAAGACAAACTAAGCTAGCAATTGTGTGTGTATGCAGCCAGTAATTAGAGCAGTACCACTTGTTTCATGACGCTGAAACTCCTCCGATCCACCCACGCACCTAATAAATAAAATTATCAGGGCGGAAGGCGTGTACCCATGATGATCAGCCGATCTCGGTCAATCTCATCCCCATCGTGTACATGCATGTACTCGCTAGCTTCCTGCATGCATACGCGCGCAGGTATACAACTTATTAACATTACATACATACATGTATTAATCAGCCAGCCTGCTGCTAATAACGTAACAACTTGCTGCATGCTCATCACAACAATGTAGTAATAAGTAATTCGATCTAAAGGCATAAGAGGATGGGGATTCGATCGGGAGGAGCTAGCTCGCACGTGTGCACACCTTTAATTTTGCGTGAGCTGCTCTGCTTAATTAATTCTGCCGGGAGATGATGAGTTACGTTGAAATTGTTCTGCTCCCTACACGAAGAGAAAAGTAGTACAGTGAGATAGGATAGTCCGGAGGTATTTTAGTTTTTTTTATCACTGGTTGTTGCTTTTAGCTAAAAATTAGCTAGTTCTTGCCAACTAGTGAGCTAATAACTAGTTGGGGGCCTTGGCTAATTTTTAGCCCACCTATTACCCCCCATGTTTGGATGGATATGGCAAAAAAATGAGCTGTCTAACAATTAGCCCAATGTTTCCAAATATGGTCTAGTATTAGCTAACTAACTTTTAACTGTCTAACTATTAGCTAGATGTTGTTCTCGTAGCTGATATAGTTATCTTTTCTTGAGTAGTAGATATTTTTGTTGTTGTTTTGGGCCTGTAGGACCTAAGAAGTTTGGAATCCTGTAGAGTAAGTTTTGTCTGGTTTTGCAGTTAAGTGTTGAGTGGAGGGCCCTCGCAACGCCTTCTCTACTCTGCTAAGTGAGGTTGACCGAGTGTTAGGTTGACCCAACTATTTATATTCAAAGTAAATGGTTGAATGACGGATGGATTGGCCACCATGCCATGCATTGTAACTATTTTCTCTTGATATATCAAATGGGTGGGTCATTGTGTGCCTTGTCCTATAGATTGGAGTGGCGACGTTTTAGCCTGACCTTAGTCTGGTGTAGGGTTTTTTCCACACTACTCAAAGGCCATATGCGTTGAGAATATTCTCTAGTAGAGTTTCATTAGAATCCTAGAGATGCTTACAACCATGTTCCTAAAGTGTATGTGTTAGTTTTCCTAAGCCTTTGTGCTGAGCTTAGTGTTGTGTGCTTGGTGGTAGTTTGGATGCTAAAACATAACTTTGAAATTGAAGAGTCTTTGTAGTCTTGTTTGGCTAGTCTATGTGTTTCAGTGGCCTTAATGGCTGTGATAAGGATCTAAGTGGCTTTGAGTTAGCCTAGCAGAGTAGTCCTAATGGTCTGATAGTGGGAGTGTACCATATGTTCTTCTAGCTTCACAAGTTGAATGGCATATTCTCTAATATGGTGCAAGTGACCAATTTGTGAGGATCATGGATTACAGCTGTTCTAGGTTGGTACCTGTAAGGACAAGTCAATTTTGGAGGTTATTTCTTGGTGGTTTAGTCATGATTCTTTGGTGAACCTATCATGATTGACATAATGTTGTTTTCTTTAGAATATGATGTTATGATGCATAACCCTTAGTGGTCGGTGTGGCATGGACTTTCTTGAAGGCGTATACCAATGGAATGATGATGTGATGCTATGTTGGTGTGCAATGTGGTTCACTTCATTCCAATGAAGGCGACTAATTCAGCTGTAGATTTGGTTCCATTGTATATCAAGGACGTTGTGAGATTGCATGATGTGCCCAAGTCTTTTGTGTTAGATCGAGACTCTAAGTTTGTGTCTAATTTTTGGCAAAGTTTGCATAATACTTTGGGCATGAAACTTAATTTATATAAGTACTGCTTTCCATCCTCAGATAAATGGTCAGTCTGAGCGTACTATTCAGACCTTGGAGGATATGTTGCGTGCCTGTATGCTTTCATGGAAGGGAAGTTGGGAAGATCACTTGCCTTTGCTAGAGTTTGCTTACAACAACAGTTACCAAGCTAGTATCGGGATGGTGCCATACGAAGAGGTGTATGGGCGTAGGTGTATTTCTCCACTTTGTTGGGATGTGGTTGGTGCTCCTTAGTTGGTCTAGATTGGGTACAACAGACTCTTGATAAAGTGCATGATATTCGACAAAACTTGTTGATTGCTCAGAGTCGGCAGAAGGCCTTGGTGTTTCCCAGACTAAAGGCATCGTTCGTTTTGGCACCACAGGGAAGCTTAGCCCGAGGTACGACATTGGACCTTCATTCTGTGATTATTGCTCGTATTGGTGCATTAGCATATCGGTCGCAATTGCTAGAGTATGGCAGGAGTACACCAATGTTTCATGTTTCTGTGTTCAGAAAATATTTGAAAGACCTAGAGCAGAAGATTGAAGCTAAGCTAGTGATTATAGAGCAAGACATGATTATGGAATGTTGCCAAGCGCGAGTATTAGAGTTCTTTGTGTGTGTTATGCATAATCAGACTATCAAATATATGAAGGTCTTATGGACAATCAAATGAAGTGAGTAGCCACATGGAATTTGTAGGCAAGTAAGTGTGAGAAGTATCGAGAGCCTTTTGAGTCTGGTAAGTGGTTTTCTCTTGTTATGTGGTTGGATCCATGTTTTTGTTAGTAGTTATACTTGAAAGCATTCGGGGACGAATTCCTTAAAGGAGGGAAAAATGTGACACCCAGGAATACCTAGTGCATAAACAAAGATTTTAATATGGATTAAGAAAATTTAAAGAAAATTGACTAGGCTTTAAAGAAAGACCAAAATTGACTTTTTGATCCGCTGCTCAGATCGACGATCAGAGGCCACGATCCATAAATCTCATCGAATACATTCTATTTGACTACTCATATGCATTGTTCTGAGTTTGGATCAGAAATTTGCGTCCGGCACAAGATTAAAGGGTAAAGATACAGTAGCCGCGAGGTGCTACAGTAGCCATGTCTGACTTTTTCCCCGAGTCTTCACCCATTGCCCTCTCTTCACGAATGGGAAAAGGTGAGAAGAGAAGAGGGAAGAAGAAAGGAAGGGACTAGGGCTTGCCGCCGTCATCGATGTAGTCGTTTTCTCCGAAAATCCATCAGAACGACGACCGGATCATAGCGACGAGGATCGTTCTGAATTGGAAGAAGATAGAAGGAAGGATCGAATCGCCGGGGGCTCATCGCCCTGTTCGCTGTGGTTTTTTTTCCACACGAGGCGAGCCCCATTTCCATTTAGATAAACGGAAATACAAGAGTTTGGTTTAGCAAAAGAACAGAAAGAAACATGATAACATCTCAAGCATTTCTGATCTCTGCCTTAGAGACAGATTGCTGTGGTTGCCCTAGGTGAGATTCCAAATCCTAATCCACTTCTTTGTATCAAGTTTTGTGGAACAAATCGTTTGTTTAGAAGGGGTTTAGTTGGAGTAATTCCCGAAATTGATCTTGTCTATGTTCTAAAATCCCGTCAGACTGTGCAGTTACTGTTTATCATCTTTTTAGGGAATCTGAAGGGCCTTAATAAAAATTTTCATTATTTACAAAGTTTGACTTCAAGACCTTTCTTTTGCCTCTAAGATCACCCTCATAGCCACTTCAGTTTGGGAGATATGATCGTTCTAAGAAGGCTATTTTTCAATGACAAGAATTTGGACAGTTTTAGATCTATTCAGTTTTTGACCTTCTTATTGGATGAATTTGTTCTTTTGATCTATACAAAAGTTGTAGGGTTATTCGTAAGCTTTCCATATTGTTGTATGTCATATTTTTTTGGATGAGTATATCTCCAGTTACAGATTTTATAAGCTTGCTGTTCTGATTTGATCGTTAGAAAAGTTCAGTTAAGTTAAGAGATTGTTTACGCCATCTTGGATATCTTTTATACCAAATATTACTATACCAAAGTTGTAGATAATGGAGATTTGTATCATCTGATAAATTTTAGGTATTTTTGAATGTATGGTTAAAAGTCAATTAAAATGAGAAGTGATAGAGCTGCTGCCATGAACGGCAGCACAATGGTTGAAGCTTGAACCGCGGGTTTGGGGTGTTCTAGTGTGTTATTTGTTGTTTGTACTTGTTGGTTTGATGATGTTGGTACTGATGTTGGCTTGTAATTAGGTGGTTTGCCTTCGGAGCACGCCTAGCTCTTTCGCTTGATCATCGGTGAAGGCAAGTAAACGTGGCGTTGTGGTCCACATACTTTAGCTCTGCTATTTGAATTGTCTCCACTAAATTTCAATATCTCACACTAGCTATATAATCTGAAATTTAAAGTACTACTTTACTTTGAAGTATGCTATCTCATATATTGTGGTATTACTATTGAATTATGAAGTATATGAAGTGCACACATTGCAACATTTGCATTTGCACTTTTCCGTTGAGATGCCTTTGAAGAAACCGTAGCTAAATTGGTGCAATAAGTATAGGTATAGCAACCCATGTTGAAATGAGCAATGTGGTTGCAGCCCTCACTCCCTCTCCTTGGGATGTGTGGGTAGAAATGAAGTCATGTATTGCATTGCACCATTGGCATTTGCATTATGAAGATAAACTTATGAAGTGTTCGATGTTGAAGTATTGATCGATGTTTCCACTACCTAGTTATTTAAAATTTGTGG